TTATGATTCCACATTTGAAAATGACAATGTTTACATTAATTTAATTGTAATGTGCAGATTACAACCATTCTTTTGGGTTTTTGCACATAAATTTTTTTTTTCTTTGTATTGTATTCCCTTTCTCTTGTTCATCAGGCTAACTCCTAGTCATCTTTTAAAATGCAACTAAGAGTTTAGTTTTTGTCTGTAGCCTTTTCTTTTTTCTTTCTTTCTTTTTTTTGAGACTGAGTTTGGCTCTGTTGCCCAAGCTGGAATGCAGTTATGTGATCTTGGCTCACTGCAACCTCCCCCGCCTCCTGGGTTCAAGCCATTCTGCTTCAGCCTTCCAAGTAGCTGGGGTTAGAGGTGCCTACCACCATGCTCTGCTAATTTTTGTATTTTTAGTAAAGATGGGAGTTTCACCATGTTGGCCAGACTGGTCTTGAACTTCTGACCTCAAGTGATCTGCCCACCTTGGCCTGCCAAAGTTTTAGGATTGCAGCATGAGTCACTGCATCCGGCCCTCTGTAGCCTTTTTTGATTGTCTTCTTCACTGAAATAGCAATTTGAGCCTACTTGTTATGGCACTTTCCCGTTACACTGAGACTTAATGCAAATAAATTTTGATCCTCCACAGTCCTATAAGGGGTTAAGAAGTTTTTTTCATCTTATAAGCCCAGTGCCAAGCATGGAAATTTCTTGATAATTGCACAAATCGAGAATTTGTGAAACATGTTTTATCAAAGAATCAGAAAACTTATCTCTCCCTCACCATTTTTTTTTTGGTGACACATATACATTAGATTGCTAAAGTACTTACATCCTAAGACCAAGAATCCCATGATGAGTAGTCCAATGCCAGCAGGACCAAAATGTACATTGTCTGAGAGATGTTGATCGCCAACGTGGTTTCCCTCATCTGCGCTGGTTCCTTGCTGAGTGGAAGTATCTCCTCTGCTATTATTGGTACTTCCAGTGTTCGTATTTGTATTGTCATTTGTAGTACCACCTGTATTTGTAGTAGTATCACCGCCATTGAAATCAAAATCTTGCATGTCAATATTTATTGTACCAGTGCAAGTTCTTTGAAGATCATCTGTAATAATGTTCAAAATGGAAGAAATATTTTAGATATTTAGCATCATAATGGTTGGATAATACAGAAATATTTTTTACATCAATATTTATTTTAATATCTTTATTCTCATAATTTCTCCCAACTTGCTAAATCATCCCTTGTTTTTGACTCAGTTTTAAAAATCAACTAAATTGTTATATTATGATAAATAACATTATTAGTCATAGTAATACTATTTATTGGATTATTTCCTTGCATTACTAATATTTGGATATTATATATAATTTGAAAAGTATAGAATTACCTAAAGAAGCAAAACAAAACCAGAAACCAAATTCATGGTAGCAACACCCAAGGACAACCCCTGCTGGTAGTTTTTTAAATGACCTTTTGTCCTTAATTATAATGCTGAATGCTTGCTTATTATTTATGTTACATTGATGTGATCATATGGTTCATTCCATTTTTTTACTTTAAACTATAAGTATTATTTTATATTTTAATAAACCTATTAACAGAGTTCCCGATGGTTATATAATTTTATATCAAATGTTCCATGGTTTACTTACCCAGTTGCCTATTATTTATATGGGTTTCAATATCTAATTATTAGTGCTGTAATTAACATCTTGTACATTCAGCCTATTATATTATAACTTTTCCTAAGGTTATTAAAAGTGGAATTATTCAGCAAAAATACAGGAATAATTTGTTTGAGGTTATTTTTGTAATCTTTATTACATAGATATGAGCTCAGTTGTCTGACTTTATTAATTGATGTAACCCTAGAATCTGGCACAATGGCTGACATTTAGTTAGGACTCAATATACATTTTCTAAATAAACGAATAGAAACATTTCTGGAAGTATATAACAGAAATATGTTTAAATCCAGTCTATATGATATTGAAACTCATGCCCTTGCTGCTCAACTATGCTAATCCTGTTGTTTTGTTTTTGTTGTTATTTCTATCATTATTGTCACATCCTTCTAAACCTGTATTGTATTGTTCCATTTTAAAGAAGCAATAATAGGTACAGATGATTAAATAACTTCTCTAAGATTCTATAGCTAGTAAGTGGTGGTAGAAGACACTAATCTAGTCTCATTTGAGGACTCATGGTCTTAGCAACTAAATTATACTGCCTCAAGTAGTTGAAGTTATGAGTCTATAATGCCCAATGTGACAACTTTTGTTGGAAAGCGGTTACTTTAAAATATGATAATTAAAATTTTAATATCTTAAAGTATATGCAGCTTTCTCTAGAAAAGATAAAAATGTAAATTGATTTATTACCATCTATAGAGAGAACTGTTCCTTGGTATTTTCCCCCAAGCATATTATATTGTTCCTTGGTAACTTTATTTTTCAAAGTGATTATGCCTGTTCTTGAGTCAACGGCTAGCAGGTCAGCTGGATTATTTCCCATTACATATCTGTATTTGAAAGAAAATGATACAAATTAATGTCAGCTATCTAAAAAAATAAGAAGAAATTTTAATTTAAAATGTATTTTTTCAGTGAGTAGTTATAACCCCTGGGTATAGTTTTCAGTTACTAGAGACCTTATTTTATTTCAGATCTGTCTTAGCTATATGGGGTCATTCAGGGGTACATCAAGATTTGCATTTAAGAAAAGTAATTACTAAGCACACATTTCTTATGGAATGTCCTTTTATGCCCAGTTGGATGTCAGAATAATACTTTGATTCTCATTTTCATTTGATTTAGGTAGCAGCAGAACTATTACAGAACACTCAGATCCTGGGATTTCCTGGGCTGCTTCTAATTCTATTCTTTTACAAAGAAGTTACTTCATCAGCTTGGCCTGCACTTTCCCCATTTCCACTCCTACTCCCCGCATGCACTAGAACTTGACAAGACCTCTTTTGAATTCCAAACTATGGCCTTGCCTTGATCCTCTATTCTATTCTTCTTTTCATCTTTGACTTCCCTGTTTTCCTTCTCATCTACTATTTGTGAAACAAACAATATTAGATAATATTCTCTCTCTGGCATTCTGCTAAGCTCTGGGTTGGGGCTAGCCTCCGTGAATTCACTCCTACTGGGTACAAGAAATCTCATCAGCAACGTGGTACAGTGTGACAGGACCTCTAACAGAACTACTCACACTATGTGAGGAGAACACCAAGAAAGAACTTTCAAAACACATGGGTGGGTTGGGCGCAGTGGCTCACGCCTGTAATCCAAGCACTTTGGGAGGCCAAGGAGGGAGGATCACATGAGCTCAGGAGTCTGAGACTGACCTGGCCAAAGTGGTGAAACCTCTTCTCTACGAAAGCAAAAATTAGCCAGGCATGGCAACAGGTTCCTGTAATCCCAGCTACTTGGGAGGCTGAGGGAGGGGAATTGCTTGAACCCGGGAGGCGGAGGTAGCAGTGAGCTGGCATCGCGCCTCTGCACTCCAGCCTGGGTGACAGAGTGAAACTCCATCTCAAAAAACAAACAAACAAACAAACAAACAAAAAACCCAAACAACAAAAAACACATGGGCGAAGTGCTTCTCTCATTCTTCTTGCCACAGTCACATACACAAATACAGGTACATGTGCACGTGCAGATTTTTTTTGTGATGAGGTGGAAATATTTCCATATATAGAGTTTTAAAAAATGACATAACATAGTTTTCCTTAATATAACTAATTTTTCACACCAGTGTTATTGACCAATATTAAATGCTGAATAAAGTGAAGAATATAATTGAAATGAGCTAACAAAAATCTAATTGATTTCAAGCTGGCAGATTTGCAGTGGGGAAATCATTCCTTAGACTCTTCTGAGGGACTTAGCACAGCCTGTGGTGATCAACTAATTGATCAATAAGATACAGAAACACAGGAGTGTCGATATTTTTGAGATATATTATTTTTACATATCTCATCTTTACAGTTTAACATCTTACATCTTGCATGAATTTTTATGTTTTCTTAAGTTAAATATTTTAAATTGAATAACAATTTATAGTACTTTTTACAATTAAATGATAGCTTGAAAAATATTGAAAAGTATTTTAACTCAGGTATTTATAATCTCTCAAGAGAATATATGTACTTAAATTCAATATGTGAGGAAAATTTGTTGTAAATGTTACTCTTACCTAGCAGTTGTTGAATCTCTACCTGTGTCCTGGTCAGTAGCTATAAAATCTCCCACTTTAGAGTTTGCTCCCATATTACCAGTTACTACGTATGTCTTTGAACCTGGACGAAACACTGGGCCTTCACGTTGATTTTTCACTTCCACAGAAATTGCAGCTGCTGTCAGTTTATATTGAGACATAATTGAATGATGAAATTCAGCTTTATTTCTGACGCCAATACTGAGTTGCAGATTATTCACAGCTTCATAATCTAAGGGCTAGAAAATAGAGTGAAATAGTTTTATTATAAGAAAACGTTTCAGATGAAAGAGAAATCCTTTGATAACAGTAAAAAAAAAATCTTATTCTCTTCCTTTATGAAACATAAATGCACACAAATACATAATCTATTCTTAAATTTTTAATCTTTAATTCAAGTAAATTTATGCAAATAAAGAAATAATTCAGTTGTCTAGATCCATTGTTGAAAAGTTGAAAACATATGACATGAGCTTTAATTGTTCCCCAAACAAATTAAAAACTTAAAGTAATACAGATAGTCAAATTTTATATATTTTTTAGTGCAAAGACAATTTATCCTACCTTTAAGCATTTTATGTTTCTCAGAAAGTAGCTATTTATTACACAGTAAGGGTCAAATATATTAGAAGATCAATCATTTGAATGGTTTTATCCATAAGAAATATTTAGAAGAAATTTCACATCTGTAAATGTGACTCTGAACAAGACAGATAATAGAATGTAATATGTATATATTTACTTTTTTCAACATGCTTTAGAAAAACTTATTTCATAAAGTAGGCAAGTGGTGATTTTCTTTATGAAAAATGATATTATATCTATAACACATAAAATGCACAAACAACTATGCCTTTAGAGCCATACATACCAAATAAATTTTTCTAAATTTTCACAAAAGTAATTTAGATAAAAATAGAGATTCACACATTGAGCTCTCCTATATAGCTAAAATGTTGAATCTTTGCTCTAATGTTGGCTTTATTTGCAATTCAAAGAATGGCTGTAAAGTCAAATGTATATATACATTACACACACATAAATATATATGTATATAATTATAACAAAGGATTTAATATATGATATGCCTGGGCAAACAATTATCATTCTCATTTTACAGATGGAGATATTGAGGACAGATAGGTGGAATAATTTTCTGAAGTAATATAATATTTTGGGGCAAAATAGATTAGACTCCAATTTCCCCAGTATTGAATCCTAAATAGTATCATGGAAAGAATGTGAACTTCATATCTAGAGAAAACTAGGTTTAAGTGTTGGCTGCACTGCTTACTAGCTATGAGAACTTATGCAGGTTCTGTCCTCTTTTGGAGCTTCAATGTCTTTATCTGCAATATAGAAATAATATAACCTAATTCTCAGGGATGCTGTGAGGGATAAACTAAAGCATCTGCATACTGTCTCAAGTTAAATACAAGCTGTAGGCATGGTGACACTTTAAGAAGACACAGGAGGCAAAAAGCCATATATTCCTATGGGGACAGAGTAGTTTGAGAGTCTGTTTTCCAGGCCTATTCTGAAAAAAAATAATTAAATAGGGATTACATTTTACCATGAAAATACATATTGCTTGCAACATATACAATCCATACACAGCTGTTGTAGATTTAAAAAATTGACTCTACAAGTTGTGTAACACAGGGAGAAACTTTGACTATCAGCTCCCTAGGGGGCAGATTATTTTTTCTCACATCTCAGATGGAATTTAACTCCAAGTAAATGTGGACCATTAATATGTGGAGGACATAAGAGAACAGCACTGGACCAGTTGACTTAGATCAAATTTCCAGCATATCTGTGTTCCTAAAAAGCTTTGGTCAGCAGCCACAGTGAGATGGGGTTGATAATTCTACATTTATAGTAATTTAACTTAAATTTTATAAAAACACACTGGAGGAATAAACACATTTTCATTTATATGATGAATATTCTACATGTGTAGCAATTGACTTACAATGTTGACATGAACACATTTTTAAAGCCCCTATTAAATCTGCTTTAAAACAATTCTTAAAACATTAACCTTAAGAATTAATTATACTTTGTTTTAAGCATAAAATACTATTTTTAAGGTGCTTTCAATTTATATGATCTATTTGGGAGTACTGCATTGATAAAATGTTCAAGTTAAAATTCAATGCCTGTTTTTCTGAAATGACTATAAGCAGAAAGACTATATTGAAAAGCCGGGCAACAGAGCAAGACTCCGTTTCAAAAAAAAAAAAANAACAACCCTCCATGTTATATATAAATTTAAAACACTGTAATTTTATTCTTTTAGTGAGTCAAGTTTGTGAAATGTTGGCATCATTTTATTTTAAGCTTAACATTTTGAAAACAGATTAAGAAAACAAAATATGTAGGATAATTACACCATACCTTAACAACCTTTAAAATTCCCACATTTGTTCTTTCATTCATTTCTATGTCAAACCAATTTCCTTCATTTCCAGAGATAAAGAAAATTACTGCCATCCAGTTAGCTGAGAACTCTTCATCCAAATCAATTACTCTAATCTGCATCAAATCTGTATATAGAGTATTTTCTTCAATTATTATGGAACTCTGAAACGAGAAGTGAAAACTCTTCGCATCAACTGTGTGAAAGAGAGAAGAACTATAGTAGGCTTATACTGGAATATTGATAACTTCATTATTTAGAAAAGCTACCCGTGTTTTTAATCTCATTTTTCATTGCTTAAATCCATTTATTCTTGCATAAACACAAGAAAAGTGTATGTGTCTACATTTGGGTTGTATGTCAATAAATATGACATGTGCCTCTGTGAACAGAATTGTTAGTATGTTTCAGAATGTAGTGAATTTAGAGTTATTAATTTCAAGAACAAATACTTACAAGAGACGGTTCCATGTAAGGGATGTTGTCATTGACATCGAGGATTTTAATGTTGCACTCACATTCTGCTGACATGCCATCTGCCCCACCATCTCGGTCAGAGCCTCTCACAGCAAGAGAATACTGGCCGTATTGCTAAAAATACATATTGCAAGCAATATCACACTTGACATAGGAAGCCTTTACTTTGTCTTATGTAAAGTTCTTTTAAATGTTAGCTCAGCATTTACATAAATCTATTATAGAGGTAGGGTTAACACAGAATATGGAAAATCCACAAATTTCACATGATTATCCCCAATAATGCTTATCATGCATTATTTAAAAGATGAAATACTTTTTAAAAGGCTTCATTTCTTATTAATAATAGTACATCCAGAGGTTGAAAAAGTTAATAAAGGGTAAAACAAACCAGAACGACCTCAAAGAAAGAGATTAAGTTTACCAAAAGTTTATGGCACGAAAATTCCATACCCTAAATAATCATCCCCTGAGTGTGCAAAAAGTATATAAAGAGATAACAAAGGTTTGTGTTTTGGGAGGTAGTGGGTTGTGGCAATGGAGTTATTGGTGATGTATCTATTCTTGACCCTATTCAATGGTGCTTACATTCCTAGAAGCTGGTAAAAACTATGGAGGCTTTCCTCAACTCATGCAAAATCGCACTCATTCGAAATGAAGGTTATAATTTATGGGGTTTTATAGAGATATCTTGAGGTCTCTCCATTGATCCCAGGTTGCGAATATCTGCTCTGGTGGCTTCCCAATGCCTGCAGAGTCCCTTTCCTTCTGACAGCCCTTTCTTAACAGTGCTTTATCACTAAAGCTCTTTTGACACGAAAGAAACCCCATTGGGCTGTTTAAGAAAGTTTGAGAAAGAAAAAGCTAAACATTCAATTTCTTCTAATGTTAATTTTCAAACACATATGAAAGGAGACTTAGGTAGCCTAGAAGCTTATAACATTTAGGTAATTGAAGAGTATTAAAATAATGTGATTTATCCTAAACCTAAACATCATTGGCAAGGAGATTGTCATTTTAATAACTAAAACAAAATTAACTGAATACCAGCAGAACATAAAGTTTCCTCACTTACATCCCTAATGTACATATAGGTCAGCAATGTTCTATTAAAAGTTAGTATTTTTTAAAATAATGAAAAAGTAGATATCTTAAAACTAAACCATGAAATCATGTATCATGCTGGAAACCTCATAATGCTGATTTTACTCTGTTAACAATCACTAGTTATTTTCTTATTTGTAAATAAAAAGATCAGTCAGGCTGTTATTTAATTCCTATCCATCATTCTTATTCTGTGGTTCATTTCCCAAAGTAAATGAACGGGTGGGCAATCAGTAGATGTTACATAGGAAAAACAAGAGTTCTGTTGTCAATGGAGCTGAGATCTGCTGGGTTGAAGAAAGAGAGCTTAGTGTGTAAATATTCTTGGAGCCTCCAGCATACTCACACATGCATTGTAGCTCACCAAGATGTGGACAGATAGCAAGTGTTTCCTAAATTCATTTCATTATAGAACACATCCTTTAGAGAAATGCAGCTTTGACTCTACCTTAGGCATATTTTCATGTACTTCCACAATCTAGTTTTCTTTGATTGAAGCAAATTTTAATTAATATTATATGAAAAATGCCAGTACAAATTGTAATTGAAAAATCCTCCTTTTTTCATTTTAAAAATGTTTCTTACATGAAAGAATCATGTGAAAAAGTTGTACAATTAAAAATTTAAAACATCATTTTCTCCATCTTTTTTTCTCTTCAGTACCCTTGCTTTTAGAATCAATTTCTTTGCAACTAAAAACCCCCTTATAGAAAAAGAATTACCTCTCTGTCTAGGAAATTATTCATCGTTCGAATTTCTCCAGTATATCTGTTGATAATAAACATTGGTGCATCTGCGGGCTCTTGTCTTATAATCTTGAAGGCTATTTTTGAGTTCAAATTGTTCGGTTCATCTGCATCAGTAGCATTGAGTATCATCACCAGCGTATCTGGAAATCATGGAAAATTGATTGTAAATGGGCAATTTACATTTTTGTTACAGTATAGCATATCACCTTTCCAAAAAGTATTAGAGTTACTTGATCCATATAACGTGGACTTCATTGTTTTCCCTTTCTACTCCTTCTACATATGAATAGCTTACCTCCTTTATATATCTATGCTTAATAAAAGGATCACATTTTACTAGGAATCTAGGCATTGCTGATAACTAGAAAACAAAGGAAATGTGTTATTCTGGCTTTCTATTTCTTCTTCTGGTACATTTTCTTATTTTTTAAAAGGATGCTATGGTGAAACCAAATGATAATAAGACCAGACCAACATTTTCCCAACTTTCTCAACACTTTCTAGCTATATAATCTTGGCCTTAGTTTCCATATCTATAAATGGGGATAACATTACTGCCATCCTCATTGAATTCATGTGAGAATTAAACAATTAATAAGAGAAAACTATATAAAGTTTCTAATGAATAGTGCACACTTGATAAATATACATTATTATTGTTTTGTTTTGGGTGATCCTTTGTTAAGTGCAAGGTAACTAGCAGATCTAAAGAAATGCTTGTTGAAGTACATACATTATCCTGTCTCTTATCATTTTCATTAATTTTACAAGTGGTTTTGATGATTATTGGATTATTGGAGAATGTGAAAACTGCCAGTTCTCATTCATAACTTTGGAATTCTTCTCTACTGTCCAACTCCAATTCAAATACAATTTTCCTACAAATGCTCCAGGACAGCTCTCATCCCCCACCTGGATTCATTGCAGCATAATTTTAAAAAAATGTTTTCACTAGATAATTAACATTTATGTATGCTTATATAATTTATATAATTAAATTCCATTGCAACTATTGAAAGCAGTGAAAAACTCTACATGTTCTGATATGAAAATAGGTTCAAAATATATTCATATAAAAATTCATGTTGTGGATTAGTATGTAACAGATGATACCATTTATGTTCAAAAACATGTTATTTATGTTTATATAATTATGGAAAGCATGTACACAGTGCATACCTTTGAAGAATGGTACTAGAAAATGCAGGCGACAGATTTTTGTTCCTTTTTGCTTTCATATTACATAAATTTAATGAGCATTTTTATAATGACATTTTTAAAAGTTCAAAGTATAGGTGCAATATTTTAATGAATAAAAGTAAAGTGTAGGGATTTTTGGAATTTACAAGAAATTTTATCCCTTAAAGGTTAAACCACAAAATGAAGTTTTGTGTGGAAGTGATTTCTATAAGTGATTTTAAAGTAGCTAACTTTAAAAAGGAAAAAAATAAAACAATGCAGTATGAGCAGAAAGGGGGGGGATTGTCCTTCCACACAGTTAGATTGGGAGGCTAAATTCACATCCCAGTGCCCCTGCCACCACTGTGCAAAATGCCTTTAAAATTTCTTGTTAGGACTCTCCTGCAGGACTGGTCTGAGAATTACATGAGAAAATCCTCCTCATTGCTTTGGAATTGCTCTTTGTGTCTGTCAGATTGGAGCTGCTTCCATAGTTGAAGCAAAAGACTTTCTATTCTGCATCTTTTATCTAGCTCATCTCTTACATTCATGATGTATACTTTGACATAGTTTAGTCTCCGGTTAGGTGCCTGGCTGTTAGGAGTGGTTTGGAAGCCACTATATTACTTACTTGCATTAGAATTTTCTTCTATTTGTCCTACAAATGTAGACATTGAAAATACTGGAGGGTTGTCATTTATATCCAAAACCCTGACTCTGAGCTCTAGAGGCCTCTCTAAATCTTGACCCATTGAGTTCAGAGCTCGGCAGTAGATCTGGGAGAGAGAAAAGAAATAATTATGTGGTAAAACACAGATTTATTAAGTTCTTACTTTGAGTGTTATGCTAGCACTGTAGGGAATTAAAAGAAAAAAGATATTATTATTACTTCTAACTAGAACATAGGCACAAGCGCCACTTACAGTCACTAAGGGAAAGCAAATGTAGCATTCTTAAGGTAGATAGTAGCTACATGGAGGTTTGTATTATTATTATTTGTATTTGAAGTGCACCTAAGTGTAATGTGTACTATTTTACAAAATGACATATTTCATATAAAAGCACATTGTGAGACCAGCCTGGGAACTATAATGAGACCCTCTCTCTATAAAAAAATGATAAAAATTTAAAAAATGCATTGTGCCCCAAGAAAAGCTAGCAGGGTAGCATGCCTTTTTAAAGTTTGTGGAGGATCATTGTGGGACAGAGGGCAGAAATGTAGATTTGGAATTGAAGGCTAACAAATTAAAGTCATGTGAGGAATATAGGCAGGCAGTGTGAGTGAACACTGCAAACATAGATTATTATTTGAAGGTGTTTTGAGATACCGATTGATGAGGTTTTAATAGAAGAGGTAACAGGAGGAAAGTAAGGTTTCTTTGTACCTATTTTTTATATTAAGAAGCGTGTTGGGCATGATCATAGAAGGAAATTGGAGTAGCCAAGGAGCCAGCAGAAGGGAGACAGAAAGGCAGAGGTGATGGAATAAAATTCCCCAAGAAACTGGTAATTATAGGAAGATGGAAATGTCTTGGAATACACGTCAGGAAGAAGCAAACAGCTGATCCTGCTTTTGGATTTAATGAAAAACATTTCTGAGCTGGGAGAGAGAGAAATAATTGTGGGAGTTTGTGATGGATGGTTTCAGTCTTTTTGGTGAAGTTGGTCACCAGGTCAACTGCTTAAAGTGGAAATGAGGTTGAGAATTTGAAAAGATAGGATATTTAAGCTATGTGACAGCTCCTGTAAAGAATGGAGTGAGATGCACTTAAGAATCAACGAATTTTCAAGGTGCATTAGGAGCTCAGGTGAACTTGAGGAACATGAATTTATAATAAAGTGTCTTTGCTCAGAAAATAGTCCTGCAGGAGCTCCAGAATCATTACTTCACATTAGACTTAAAAGAAGCTAACATTCTCTACTGAATTAAAGGAAAAGGGAAAACTGAAAAGTTAGATATTTATCCTTCCAAACAAATACTCTAGTTTGCCAATGAGGACAGACTATAGGTTAGCATTTTTGCTGACACTTAAGTAAAACATTTTCTCTCTTAATCTTTGCATTTTTTTTTGGTTATAGGACGCTCGTGAATTAAGAAACAACCAAATATGCCAAATATTGAGACTCTTGAAATCGAATTAAGTATTATCTGAGATTAAGAGTTTCCGAGAAGAATTTAAGCCTGAACATATATATTCACATGAAATCCACTTACAATGAAGAAAGGAGTGACCTCTCGATCAACTATGGATGTTATATTAATTTCACCAGTTTTTTGATTAATGACAAAGATTCCATATGGTGGTTGATCAATTCCTACTCCAGAGATGCGGTAGGTAACTTGCTGGTTTGCAGCACAATCTGAGTGAATCTGCAAAAGGAATACAAGTAAAAATATTACAAAGAGCAAATAGAGTTCTATGTCTGATATATGACAGCTTTCTTGAGAGTCGTTGCATGTGATGACCTTGTTATCATTTAGGAAATGTTGACAATGGAGAATTATTTTCCTAGATAAGAGTAAAAATTACAGCTCTAGTATTTTCAATGGTAACTGACAATGTAATTAAAGAAATTCAGTTTCTACTTAAACAAGAGAAAAGCAAAATACCATTCTACAATATCTAAGTCTATGCAATCATCATGCATATCTTCATTCATTCAACAGTTAAAATTTGATCTCGTATTATTTGCATGGTCTGTGCTTGCACTGGAGCTACAGTAGGAAACTCCTTGCCCTCTTAAGGAGTTTACCAATGTTGATATTATGCAACTTTAATCTTCAATATTCTTAAATGTAAAGTTTTTGAAGAAAGTTTTGAGTAGGTTGATGTAGGCGACTAGAGTTATCTGAGTTTGAGTGGAAACTCTTAATTCTCAAAATAGGGAGAATGTATTAGTAGAAAAGGAAGGAGACCATGCAAATAAATGTTTATAGAAACCAGAATTCTTTCTTTGAAATAAAATATTGTTTGGCTGTAAACAAATCTTAGTGGGGAGTCTTTGTGAATGTCTGTGTGAATGTATGTGCATATTTGTCTCTGTATCCATGTACTGTATACCTGTATGTTCATGAATCTGTAGGGGGGTGTTTCTAAGTGTGTGTGTATATAGAAAGAAAGTTACAGAAAAATGAATAGAAAAGGGGTATGAGAGAAGGCACTTTGTAAATGTTAATAAACAAACAAAAAAGTAGGAATTCAATTCTAACACACCATGAGGGAAAAAGAGCATGCATTGAAGTAATTCCTTTGAATGCACTGAAAGCCAAATTCTTTATTTAAATAATGATCTTTTTACATCTAGAGTTTGGGATATCACATGATCACGTACATGCATTTCACAGTGAGACAAGTCAGTGTTTTACTGTTTCTCTGAGTGCCTGCATTTTTTAATTGTCCTTAGGAGTTTCAGTTTTCATCATGTAGATGACAATAGTTCTGTTCTGAATGGTAGCTTCTCAGTGAGACATGTTCATAAAATATTTAAAAGGCAGTTTGAAACTGTATCCATTCTGATTTTCACTGTTATGCTTTGGAGTTGATACTTACTTTGGCAATTGGGTTTCTCTTTGAGTTGTCTTCACCTTCACGACAGGCTGCCGCAAACTTGATCCATTCACGTTTCTGCCTTCGGATTGAATGCCACTTGATGGTGCCATTTTTAGTGTTATAATCTCTTACCTTGAATGAGAGCAATAAAGAGATGGTACATATTAATTTAAATTCGTATTCCAAATTCCACTCAGATTTTTGGAAGAGGATATAATGTCTGAAATAGAGGAAGTTTAATTGGGAAAAGTGGTAATTTTGGTCATCTATTAACTTTAGCATGGGGTGAACTTTATAAGAATAAATTTTCTTCAGAAAATATATTGTTATTCTCAAATTATATTCCTGTTTAAAAATTTGGAAGAAATGGATTTGTTATATTTACCTGGACCCGGAATTCACTGTTAACTTCTATCACCACCTATAAGAGATAAGATAATCACACTAGTTATTTTTTAATTAAATGCTTTAAAATTCATATTATTCAGTTACTTCAATAAAGATATAAAACCATAGGCTTGTGAGTCATTATATTTTATCAGTCTATATAGCAGGTAGATCTGGTTTATGTCTTGGGCCTAATGATGATGCTAAGAATTTTTGTTTTTAACCGTTCAATTTACTCTTCTTTTTATTACTTCTATTTTTATTTTTAGCTATGCAGATACTTGTTATCATATGGGTAGAACATTTGAAGCTTGATCTCAAATAAAATGTGGTCAGAAACTCAGGCTGTCTTAGTAAATCTTGTGCCCAAAGAGCTGGATATCTCTAAGGTTGTTCAGTAATATTACAAAATCAGCCAAAATCTGAAAACATTCGAGTATAGTTTCAGGATTTGACTAACCACAGATGTAAACAGAAAAAAAAGCGTGTGTAGGGAAGAAAAGATATGAAGCAGAACAATATATAGAAGGCTTCAGAATATTTAATCCCTCACACTCTAATTCTAGATCAAAGATTTCCTTGTATACTTGCAGATTTTAAAATGAAGTTTTTCACCTGCTTTGAAATATGAAAATAAAAAGTTCTAAAAGAAAAACATTTTCCTTTATGTAAAAATGAACTAGTTGATGTTTTATCTTTAGCTCTGAATGAAACAGATGTTATAAAAGCATCCTTCCACAGCAAGGAGAGGCAAATGCAGGAGTATAGGGACAAGTTGCTGGGAATGTAACTTCCTTAGTCTCTTCTCTTGCATTAAACAATTTCCCTAGATAAACAAATATGTTAGTCAAGCTGCCTAGTTACAGCTCTCGCTGTAATCTTTATATATGATTTGCAGGGAAAAATTGGAATAATTTTAATTATTTTTCCTAAAAGCCATAGGCTTTTCTGAGACCACAGACATTTACATATGGAGTTTAATACATTTATGTACTTGTTTAAGACATTGTAAAATATACCTAAAAATTAAGAGTGGATTGGGGGCTAGTTTGTATTTATTAAGATTTAAGTTACATGTATAATTCATTAAAGACAGTATAAATCCTTAATTTATATTTCTCCCTAAATAAGAAATTTTCAACTTCTAATTGAATTTATTCAAAATTGCAAAGTATGAAAAACTTTATTTATATCATTGATATAAAAATTATAATTTGCATTTAAGAATACTAACAATTGCAATTTAAAAATACAAAAAAGGCTTTTTATAGTTGATTTTAATTGCATCATTAAAGAAAATATAAAATTAATGTCTCTTAAGTACCTACTTTAAAAAAATTGCCACAATAGTTAATTCAGAAAATAAATACCTAGGATCAATATGAGAAGTGTAAAAAAGTAATGTTTTTATTATAATAATTACATGTCCATTGTATATTTAATATTAATAATTGTGATTATTACTCTTTTAATTTATTGAATAATAACTAAGTACTAGGTAATGTATAAATCTATGCATTTAATCTTCACAGTAAATACATATGGTCACCACTAATACTATCACCATTTTTCAGATGAGGAAATTGAGTTTTGGATATTAATCTATGGCTAAATGCAATTCAGTACAATTCGGAGTAATTTGCACTTGAGTTGTGAGTTTTACAATAAAATATGAGATAGCCTATTCCCTCAAGTAAATTATTACTAAGTAAAACATGCTACAAAGAGTTGATATTGCAACTTTAAGAACTCAAAAAAATCCTATTTTAATCTATCTTTGTGATTGGTAATATTTATATATAACAATAGTAATGTAGCACAAAGAAAAAAAGAAAAGTGCATGGCCCAAAGTTTAGGTCATTTTATCTGTAGAGTCCACCTTGGGTGCAGAACTGAAATGATGTTAATATACATGCATACTCCTTGCCACCTTGCATTTATGAACATTTTTCCCTCTCTCTTGCTTGTGAGTGTGGGATGAGAGATGGGCATACCTTACTTGTCTGTTTGAAAGCCATTTCTTCATAGCTACAGAATTGTGTGAGCATCTGCTATCTGTTTTTGCACTTCCCTTACTGCACTGGCGTATCAGTGCTTGCTGTTTGTTTTGGAAAACTATGCAGATGACTAAGAAATCTTTCCAGCTTTATGAAGCTGGGTCATTCTTTTTCCCATGAGAGACAACCTTAGGCAGAAGACCAAGTTTCACCATACTGTCAGACTCGCAATTGGATTTGTAATTTAAAAACTGCCAAGTCTGCTTAAAAATGTGGTGGGTTGGTGTAAGCTTATTTTCTGTTGCTCAGAGTCTAGAATGAATTCTGATACAAAGTCACTCTTGGACTTGCAAGGGCAAAAGAGTGAAATCTGACTCTTGACAGAGTTGGAAAACCTCCAATGTATTCCTCAATTCTCTGAACTTTCGTTTTGTCACTTGTAAAATGACAATAGTAGATGAAATTGTATACAGGTAACTTTCCAGCTCTAATATTAAATACCTGTGTGCAGTAGGAAAATATTGAAGTATTTAGATTGTGGGAAGGGCATGATATAATTGCGGTTTTAAAGCTTACTCTGACAACAGTTGGTAGGACTAGTAGAAAGAGGCAGTGATTACAGACGGCGAGCAGTTGAGGATCTCTTTATCAAAGCAGACTAAAGTTGAGGAGGAGGTAAGCTGGAGCAGAGGTAGAGGGAATGAATGGGGAAAAATCAAAGAATACTGCAGGACAGCATTTAGCAGGGCTTGAGAACAAATGGGATGGGGTTGTTCAAGAAAGGGAGGAAGCTCAGGAGATGGAGGTTTTAAACTGTGGGACTGGGAGCAAGACAGTAACAGAATTTAGCAGATTAGAACACATTGAGTTTGAGATGCCAGATAATGCCCAGGTGAAGATGATAAGCAATTGGAAACATGGATCAAAAGTTGAGCAAAAGTTCAAGCTGGATATATAGATTTGAGGTACATCTTCTCAAGCAGGATAGTTGAAATCATGTGAGAATTTGAAATTCCTAAAATAGAGGATACAGTCAAGAAACAGCCTGCCGCTGAGGATAAATCTAGAAGAAGTCTTACATTTGTAGAATGAGAAACAAGGACAACAAACAAACAAACAAACAAAAAAAAAAA